AAGCGAGCCTCTACCAGTTTAGTCGTCTTGCCGCAGCGAACAATAGCATACGAGTTTTGCCAGTCGATCTCGTAGTAAGTCAAGGGCGCGTCGCTGCCAGAGTGAAAGATGAGGTGCTCTTGGAGCAAGATGACGAGTCCGCACTTGATCTGGCGCCCGCTCAGATAGGAAGCGCGAGCGATGGATGCGAGGCTCTGCCGACCATGGCGCGCAAGGACCGAGTAAACTCGCTATTCGCAGTTAGAACATGTCCGTGAATGCGCCTGCCTGAAAAATGATGACTCCAAATTCAGTCACGAGACGGGACACGGAGGTCAAACACATACAGCCGCAAGTTCGCCATAGGTATCCTCGACCAAGAGGGTGCAGAGTTGGGCGAGAATCTGGAATATGTTGGCTATAGTTCATTCGCGCGCGTCGGCGGCGCATCTTACCGGAGTCTCGCGCTGGTTGTAAGACATGTTTGAGCCTAGATATTTGCCAGATATCTAGGGTGGAGTAGTGCTACCGGGGAGACATTGGCGTAGATCGCAGGCAAGACGAACTGGGAGAGAACAATCAGAAACAAAAAAGTCCGGGCGAAGTTGTCGAAATGGATGCGGGTGGGGTGGGTGACCGATGGAGCTCCGGCCAATGGAGAGGGGAGCGAAAGCACTTACTGGTCTTGGCGGCCTACGAACTTTGTGATGTCGATGCTCCGAATTACCTCACCCCAAGACGTCTATCCATCCATTGCCGTCCCCCCACACCACTGACAGCCCTCCGCCCGGCGCCAAACACACAATGCTCTCCCGAACGACCGCCTGCCGGGGCGCGCAGCGTGCAGCCCGCCAGCAGGTCGTCCGCCCTAGTCAACGTCGCGGCCTCGCTGCCCCGGCCTCAGGCTCCTTCCAGTACCAATCCGGCGAGGCAAAGGGCGTCAAGTACGCCAGCAGAGACTTTACCGGTCCTACCACGACACTCGCATTGGTCGCCAAGGCCGGTACGAGATATCAGCCACTGCCTGGCCTGACCGAGGGCCTGGCCAACTTTGCTTTCCGGGTACGCCATTGATATTACGCCATCTGATATAGACGCTGTGTCGCATCGACGCAGTCAATTGATATGAAAGAGCTCGGCTGACGCTCAATTGGACTCTAGGGCACTGAGAGACGGTCAACATTGCGCATTGTCCGCGAATCTGAACTGCTGGGAGCTAGCCTCAACGCCCACCACTCGCGCGAGAACCTGGTGCTCGAGGCAAAGTTTCTCCGCGATGACCTCCCCTACTTTGTCGAGCTCCTCGGCGAGGTAGCCAGCTCTACCAAGTACCAGCGTATGCTTCACTGCAAACATGACATGGTTGATGGAATTGACACTGCGCAGCCCACGTATACGCCGAAGAGGTTCTGCCCATGATTCACTTTGCTCACAAGCGCTTCCTCGCCAGCGTGACCGACATGGCCACCCAATCCGCCCACAGCCTCGCTTTCCACCGCGGTCTGGGTGTCCCTACCGCTTCCGCCGCGCCTACCCCATACACCAAGTACCTTGACGCCGAGACGATTGAGTACTACTCCAAGATCGCCTATGCCAAGCCCAACTTTGCTGTTGTAGCCAACGGTGCCGACCACGGCGAGTTCTCCAAGTGGGTTAGCGAGTTCTTCGACGACGTTCCCAGCTCCGCTCTCGACGAGTCAAAGACTGGCGCCGACCAGAGCAAGTACTACGGTGGTGAGGAGCGTATTGCCCACGACAGCGGAAACGCCATGGTCATTGCCTTCCCCGGCTCCAGCTCGTTCACCGGAAAGTTCTACAAGCCCGAAATTGCCGTCCTCAGCTCCCTTCTCGGTGGTGAATCAGCCGTCAAGTGGTCGTCAGGCTTCACCAAGCTCGGTCAGGCTGCCGCTCCTGGTGCCAAGGTCAAGACCACCAGCGCCATCTACTCTGACGCCGGTCTTCTTTACACCACCATCACCGGTTCCGCCAAGGCCGTTGCCCAAACCGCCAAGGCCGCCGTTGAGGCCATCCAAAAGATTGCTGCTGGTGAGATTTCAAGTGAAGAGGTTTCCAAGGCAAAGGCCGCGGCCAAGTTCAAGGAGCTCGAGCACGGCCAGGACATTCGTGCTGGCCTCGAACTTACCGGCAATGGTTTGATCCACAACACTCAACCCTACCAAATTGACGAGGTTGCCAAGAAGATTGACAGTGTCTCAGAAGAGTCGCTCAAGAAGGTGAGTAATCCAATCTCGTTGAATAGAGACGTCATGCTAATGAATCATCCAGGCTGCCAAGGAACTACTGGAGAACAGGGCCTCAGTATCGTCTGTTGGTGACCTCTTCGTCCTACCTTATGCTGAAGATCTCGGCCTTAAGGCGTAAATACAGTGGGATAGTAGCGCAGTTTAGAAAGGAAATCTCGTTTGGCCAGGGGCTTGTGTAACATTATCTTGTGATAGTCCCTGATAGATGCATCTTGTATAAGTTGATTTTGCATTTCAAAGATTGATATTGTTGTGTTATGAGTTTGTGATGGGTTGTGGTAATGCTGAATGTATGAGCGTTAGCTTGACAGATGCAGGTACAAAACGTCGTTCGTGGTCCTGCAGCATACTTAGTCTCACGTGCCAGCGCGTAGACGCACAGACCATGTTCGCGCAATCGTACAAGCCAAACACGTCGACGTCCACCACACAAACACCCAACCGGCAAGACTGTTGACTGAACACCCCAGACTTGATCCCGCTTGCATCTACACTTTCAAAACTACCTGAACGAAGACAAGTCGAGAAGCTGGTGTTTCTCTCTGCGCTACATCAACACACAACAACACACGTGCAAGCCCGCACGGCGAAACAACGATAGGAGAAGCAGCGACAATGCCACAAACACTCTACCCCCGCGCTACAGTCAAGAAGATAGTAAAAGCGCATTCGAATCGGGGGGTTAGTAGGAATGTTGATATTCTGGTGAGTTTTATTTAGTATTGCTTGCAACATCAAAAGAACAGATAGGGTGGGTGAGTGGGGAGAGTGTGGAGAAGAACAGGGAGAAACGGGGAGAGGAAAGTGTGCTAATTCGATGTGAGGTAGATTTACTTGAATTATATTGTGTTTATGCAGGAGTAAGTCATTACCGTCCAGATGAAACCAATTCTCGAGAGGGGGGGATAAGGACAGGTAAACGAGCTAACACAACCCTCCAGTCTCCTAAAAGAAGCAAATATCAAGAGTAAACAACATGGCGAGAAGGGTGTTTCGGCAAAGAGTATCAAGAGGGTTAGTGAGGGGGTGTTGAGAAAGTACAAGGGCTGAGGAAGTCGTGGTTAGCGTGGGAGGAACTCACAGTGTGTGACTAGAGGGTGAGAGTCTGGCGTTACATGTACTTCTATTCTATTCCTTGCATGCTCCAAGTAAACAAGGGAATCATACCACACAAGGGGACTACTTTCCTACACCGCTGTTCCCTCACTCACCACAGCAATAACTCTAGGAACAACCCACCCCTCACTATACCTCTTCCCCGCCTCGGGAATCTCAATACGGAGTTTTTTTCGCAGTTCCTCAAGCCCCTCTTTACCCCCTCCCTCACCTCCCCCCACCGCAACCGCATCAACAACCCCCTTAACCCCCAAACCCAACGCAACACAACTCTGCACCAAACACTGCACCTCCCCCTCCCAACTTGCCTTCACACCCTCCGCCTTGGCCGCTCTAACACCAAGCCGTTTGTATTCCTGAAGTGCAGATTTTGCGTTGCGAATGTTTGAATTGATTTCTGTCCAGATTTCCGAATCGCTGTCTGCCACGGCCTTGATGAACGCTGACATCCCCTGGGATTCCTGTTGTGGTGATGCTGGAGTAGGTGTGGATGTAGATGTAGACGTGGACGCAGGAGGAAATGAACCGTAAGGTGTCATCAAACCCCTAAACTCCTCCCACTCCAACACCTCCACCGGCGCAAGGGCGAGGAAAGGTTTCATGCGCACTTCATACCGCAATTTCTCCGAAGAAAACGGTCGTGTGGGTATGTTTAATAAGCCCGCGTACAAAAGCAGCATGTAGAAGGTCGCCAGCGCTTTCGCCAACGACGCCGTTGCTTCCGTTTCCGCTAGTAGACTGTTGAGATAATCTTGCGAGGCCTGCAACTCGCGGAGCTCCCTGGGCGACTTGCTGACGCGGGCGTGCTGGGCGGTGTAGTGGCTTTGAACACGCTGAAGCAGCGCGTTACGACGACCGGCGACGAGGGACAGGAAAAGATACATGCCACAGTATTCGTCGGGTAGATAGATGTCTTGTTCGAAACCAAGGAGGACGACTTTCTGTATCATGGTGAGTTTGTGATGGTACACCCATGTCGAAAGGCTAAACTCCATGATTTGCTCGCTGACACCTAGTTCCGATGCTGCGGCTGCAATATCTGCGTCGATGAGACTGGCGTCCGCTTGTAACATATCCCAGCCGGTAATAACATGCGTAAGCATACGCCTCAGTCGACACCGATTCTGGCCCACCGCAACCCAAAGGTCCATGTACGCCTGTCCCGCACGTTCCACAAACTCGTCGATGAGCAGTGCGAACTGGAGACGAGGCGGTTTGGGCAGAGTAGGATTGCGAGGGGGTGAAAAAGACCAGTTTACAGGGTCGAGTACGGGGGAGGCGGAGAGGACGAGGGTTTTGCAGTCGGCGAGGGGGAGGGACGAAGACGTGTGTAGGACGTCTGGGTGGAAGAGTAGGGTGGAGAGGTAGGAGCGGGCGTAGGCTAGGGGTGGGGGGTTGCGCGAGGCAAAGTGCCAGAGGAAAGAGAGGTATTCGAGGGGGTCTTGGGGGAGGTCCACGAAGCGCGTTGCTTCAGAACAGTCGCTGGCGATGTGGTGGAGTTTGGACAGGGCGTCTGTGAAGTCGAGTTCGACGACTGGGCGGGGGGGTACGGTGGATGCGAGTCGTCGTTGCATTTTGGGGCTAAATGCTCCGGGTACGGATTTGCCGAGTTGATGTGTAGTTTTTAATGCATCGATGCCTTGGAATATGAGCGGCCAGGAGTGGGATATTTGATCGAGCGGGAGGTCCAAGTCCAGAGCACGGAGAAAGTCTTTTCGTAACTCCAGTCGTGAGAGGATGGCTTTACGGAGTGTGTCATCAATCTTCAAGTCGGTGCTAAGAGGTGTAAGTAAATATCCCAGAACAAGTCGAAAAATAAACTCCACTTACTCCTCTAATACCTCAACACCAGCATCCAACTCCCTCAGAAACACATCCATCGGCACACTAACAAACAACACCCGATTATACGTATGCGTACAAAAATCCTCCTCTTCAAAGTAATCCCGCCCCGTAATCTTCGCAATCACATAATCGCACCCCTTGATCACCGCTAGACAGTACGCCCTGAGTACCTGCAGCAACGGCCCCGGTCGTCTGTCGTCTGGAATACCTCCACGGTAAAACTGCGATTGCTCCAGGACTCTAGTTTCGGGCCAGAGCAGCTTATCAATATACAATGATGTGAAGAGTGTTTGGGATAGCGGGTAACCTGTGTGCCAGGCCATTTCGTAGCAGAGCAGCTGATCCATGATTCCGATTAGCTCTTCCGGTAGAAGTGGAGCTAGGGCATCGTATTCATCTTCCAGCGTCTCTCCTGGTTCTAGGAATCCGGAGTCCATTTTGGGATCCATGATCTGTTGGGTGAGTTACTAACGCGCCGGTTGTTGAGATGGAAAGAGGTGTGATACCTCGATTGCCCCAATAGATTCAAACAGCGTAAAGTATTCATCTTTAACAAGCTGACCGACTTCAAGAGCTATCCATTCATTAGTTGTTGTTCGAAAATGTTCTTGTCCATATATCATGGGCCCATGGTGACGGCCCTTGCCCCGCCATGCCCCTCCAAATATCGGATTACGGGTCAACTTGCCATTACACGCCCTTGTGAACTTATCCGTGACATTATGAATCTTTGGCTGTGAGCCACCGACTGCATTTCTCGCTTGTCTCAAGGGCAGATTAGCGGATGTAGCAGGCGCCTGGATAACGGGCGCAGCAGACTCTTGCGCTGCATCTGGCATGAAATCATTAGCCGACTATTAAAATGCAAGTGTCACAAGCAAGAGAAAAGGGACATGTGTGAATTACCAACACGGTCAGCACTTGTACCGCCATCATCCGGTGTCTCGGCAGGGGCTGTGCTGTGGCTGCTAGGAGCATCCGCCATGTTGTGAGGTGGAGTTTAGTTGGGCCGATATGCGGGAAGTTTTGTGACAGCCGAGTTGCACCAAAGGCGGGTTGGTTGGTTACTTACAGCAGCCGTCACTATGAGTTATATATACACAACTTAGGAAAAAGTTCACGACACATGGAATAGTTGGCGTGGGACAGTGATTCAACCCTGTTTGTCGTGCATTGGCTTATAATCCTCCCAATTCAGCTTGATTGTACAGAATATACGTTTCCATGCACTCCCCAGATCTCTCTCTCCATCTCCGTCAATCCATCATGCGCTCATTCCTGGGTTTACGAGGACTTGGCCGCGTCAGCCTGTGCCTGGAGAGCAGCAGCGTTGAGATCCTTCATCTCGCCCTGCTTGCCGTTCTGCCCATGTGTTAGCCTGCAATACCTACTTCCTCCCCGAGTATGCACTCACCGACCACTTGGCAAACCTGAGTTCGCTCTCGCCCCTTCGCTCGGCAGCGATGCGCTTGTCTTCCTTGAGCGAGCGGCGCACGACGCGCGATGCGACGGCAATGTAGCGGTTGTAGCTGTCCGAGGTGTTAGTTAGGGATCCAACTACCATTAGGCGGCTCCAAGAGAGGGCGAGCGTACGTGAGACCGGCGGCTTTCCACGCGAATGCCATTGTGATGATTGGGTGTGGTTTGGTGGGTGTGGACGGGTTTGCGGTTTGCGGGTGCAGTACTGAAGGTTGGTGAGCTCCGGCGAGAATTCGCGATGCGGCTCGGAACTCGACATCACGTGATGGGACACCGATGCCCCCTCACATGCAGGATGCATATGGTTATTCTATAGTGCTCCAAGCACCCCTTGAGTTCTCAAGACATGGAATATGAACATGGTTGACAGATAAATTACAGTCATGGTCATTCATTTTCATAGCTAGCTACGTCAAGCATAGCTGTATCATGGTCTACCGTAATGCCCATTGAGCAGCTCTAACGCTCACAGCGCACGCTCACGCTCACGCTCACACTCACAACTCCATGGCCTCACCATCACCACCCTCTGCATCATCATCTCCTTCCCGGTTCTCAAAAGTAGCGTCAAGCCACTCTGTAATGTCCTGTCCCTCGTAGAGCGCAAAGTCCTCTCCAACGCCACCAATACCAACACTAGTGTTATCAACAGTCAATTCCTTGTCCTGGGACAGTGACTCCTTGAGCGCCCTCAATGCATGCTTGATCAGCTCCTCCCTGCTAGCGCCCTCAAAGTCATCCAGATGCCTCTCCAGGTACGTCCTCGCCATCTGACTCCTAGCACCAATACCGCACGCAATCATCTCCTGTGTGACGCCGCTGGGTTGGAACTCGAATAGATGGGGACCCTTTGCGTCGACACCGGCAATCAAGAGTCCGACTCCGTACGGCCTTCGTCCATACTGCTGCGTGTTGGTCTGCGCACGGTCTGCAATGCGGGAAGTGATCTCGGAGAGGGGGATGGCGCGGTCGTAGGTTAGGCGGGAGGCGAGCGACTGCTGCTTCATGAAGTTGGAGAGAACGCGGGCATCGGACGCGAGACCAGCTAGGGCGACGCCAAAGTGCGAATCTATCGGGATGATCTTCTTCTGGTATGATGAGAGCTCCTCGGCGTTTCGCTACGATATATTTAGTAGGCTTCTTGCGGTGTTGATTGGATTCGTTACCTTGATTGCGGCGAGTACTGCGTGTGTTTTGCTGACAATGCCTACAACGACCGAACCCTGCTTGACGGCTTCTTGTGCATATTCGACCTGAAAGATACGGCCCTGGGGCGAGAAGGTGACCGAGTCGTTGTCGTAGTTGTTGCGGAACATGATGAAGGTGGGAGCTGTGCAGTGTCCAAGGCGGGGTTGATGGTTCTAAATCACTCTTCTGATTCCTAACAGACAATTCCAGCACACAAACGAGGTGCAGTCGCCGAGGGTATGAATTGCAGCGAAGTGGAGCAATCTCTTCTTACTCGTGGTGATGGTGAAGGCACCCAGCGTAGACGACGACCCATAAGCTCCAGAAGCTCCGATCTTGGCGACGGCCTTAGCGTGCGACGCAACCACGACAGGCGTCTAGCTCGCCGCAGCAACAAGACGGCCAGACCCTCAACATCGCATCTTCGCCGGACCGAGGACCAAGCCCACCGGACGCCTGCGCATACCATTCCGTTATATCCAAACACATCGAAAGAGCTGATAGTCACGCGTCACCATGGCCGGCATCAAGACCATCATCGGCCTGTCCTTTGTACGTCAGCCGGTCGCATAGGCGCGCTCGCATTCTATATCGCTGCTAGTATACTAATGCCTTGTTAGGTCCTAGCGATAGGCTTCCTCCTCGTTATTCTGTCTGCCGCGCTTTTCCATAACTACCTGACGCTGCTTGTTGTCGCAACCTACGTAATCGCACCCCTGCCCAACTGGCTCTGCGGAAGAGCAGCGAACCGCGATGATTTCATGGAGAACACGGGAAATGGGGTTGTTGACTTTGGGCGGTTCTTGACGGGCTTCTTTGTCGTCATGGGAATTGGTGAGTGCACGCGCATCCGAAGTCGACATGCGAGTCGACATGCGAGTCGCTGATGGCTAACATCTGACAGCTCTCCCCACCCTTCTATGGCACTCTGCGGAAATTGCAGGCGGCGCGGCGGCCATGTCCATCTTCGGTGGTCTGTTGATATACGCGACCATTATCAGTTTCACCCTCTTCTTCCAGGAGCAAGAAGACTTCTGACTAGCCGGCGGGACTCAGTAATGAGGGACCGCGCATATTCCGGGCAAGCCGCCCGATCAATTGACGACAAGCCAAGCGCTTGGTAGTAATGGCTGGGAAACGGAAACGGAAAGACTGGGCCGGGGCTTTTGCATCTTCATGTTGTTTTGATAGTTTTGCTGAGCGTTCTTGTACAAGTATATGGGACATAATGCATAAGTTGACTGACGTGCGTTTTTTTGACACCAAACTCGCTTGATGATGGATATGAACAAACAGGACGCCTACAGAACAGCCTCCCTCAACATATTTGTACACGGTAATTAGACGTTCGAGTCCGTCACTGAAACCAAAGACATCCGATGTGACACGTAAGCCGCGAGTCGCACAAGCTATCCCCACGGCGTATCCTTACAACGCCAGATTGTAGGTATATTCATCCTCCATGTTCTGCGCAACCCAAAGAACAGCCGAACTGCATCGCATTAGCAAATCATCGCCCCCAAAGATATCAAAAAAACTCACCTCAACATAATCAACGCATTCGCAATCACATTGCCAATGCCCATCCAGATGGTCGGCCACGTATGCTCAGTAACAATAAACTTCATAACCATGACCACCACACTACCCGCCAGGCCGCCGGCCAGCAGCGCAAAGCCCAGAAAAAGCACCAGCCTCGCCTTCCACGCCACACCGTTCCCAGAGTACGAGAAGCTGTCGGCCGACAGGCGCGACTTGTCGATGCTGTTGATAACGAGCATGCCGAGGGCGCTGCAGATGCCGGGGATCCAGTCGATGAAGGTGATGTTGACGCGCGGGTCCGACCCGTTCATGGCCGACTTGGACCATACTGAGATGTCGATGAGCGTGTAGAATCCCAGGGCGAACTATACAAATATACGAGTTAGTAGATGTTTTCTGGGAGCCAGCAAGGATTGAGAGGCGCACCAAAGCTCCCGATATGTAGACGCCGGCTGTCCGCGTGTTCGCGCTGTTCATCCATGCTGGCTTGGGGAAGCGGAAGAGGCGATTCGATTCTTCCATGATTTCGACGTTTCTGCGACAAAGTAGCTTCGTAGGTAATGCGTGGTGTGGTGCGAGCAAAGCGGCGAATAGCTGGCGAGGTGGCTGTCGAGCTTGATGCTGCGGATGCGGATGCGCCTGGCTTGCTGCGGTGGAGGTCGTCGCGCCTTGTACGCTTGGCGCTTGACGTCTCCCCCGGGCCCGTCGGCACCTAACTACTCGAAAACGCCGATGTAGCCTCGGATTTTCCCCCAAAAAAGTTCCTTAGCAACTTTCCATCTTACCTACAAGTCCACGAAGACGTTTCTGTGCCAACACCACCACCCACGTTTACTGTAGTCGAGACGTCAGCATGGGCGCCTCGAAACCTGCTGCCAAGGGCAAGAGCCCAAAAGGCAAATCCGGTCCGAAATCCGCAGGCGCAAAATCAAAATCTAAACCCAAGACTACTGGTAGTGCGCCAGAGGGTATATCGAAGCGCAAGCAAAAGTCCATGTCGCTGGCTAAACCGGGTGGCGCGCAAAAGACGAAATCTATACTTTCAAAAGATGGCAGGAAGAAGAGGCGGGTGTATAGCGAGAAGGAGCTAGATATTCCCGCGCTCAACGGTATTATTCCAGCCGGAATTGCGAAACCAAAGGGTGTGAAGAAGGGCAAGAAGTTTGTGGATGATCCGGCTAGCATGGTACGTTGAGTCGTCGTAGTTGGAGCTTGTCTGCGAGATTATGGAGTGTTTTGCTAACTCATCCTGTAGATGGCCATCATGTCCGTCGTCAACGCCGAAAAGGAAGGACACCTCGAGTCCAAGATTGCCAAAGCTCGCCAGCTGGAAGAAATCCGTGAGACCAAGAGGAAGGAGGCGGAAGCGAGGAAATCAGACAAGGATCTGGCGTTTGAAGAGAGGAAAAAAGATCTCAAGAAGAAGCGGAAGAGGCATAGTGAGCCGGCGGCGGGCAAGAGCGATGAGGGTGAAAAGATCAAGGAGAAGGATAGGAAGTTTAAGCAGAGAAAGAGGGTTAGCTTTGGTTGAGGAGTGGGTGGTGTGAGTGGCAGATATGAGAGTTGTTCAGCAGGTTACATGGGTGGTGGACAGAAGACAGGCGCAAGCAGGTGAATGGTCCACATGAGATGATCGTATTGGGAAAAAGCGTCACCAAAGGCACAGAAAGCCAGCATCAGCACAAAACAAGGTCTACACACGATCTACAAACATCTAAAAGTCTATGATACCCAAACAAAATATCAAACTTCCATACCTACTCATCAGGCAATATCAACCGCCGATGATTCGGATCAAAAACCGGCCACTTCTTCCCCTCCAACCCCCCCATATCCACCTCCTCCCCTTGCATCTCCCCACTCTTCTCAAAATCAACCTCCTCATCCACCTTCCTCAAAACCGCCGCCGTAGCACAAGCAAACCACCGCCCCCCACCCCACATAAACGACCCCAGATGACCCCCCCAATCCGTCGTACACAACAGCGTATACGGATTCCGCTTCACCTCCTCCGTCGGCAGACCAGCTTTACTACTAATCGGGTCGTCCTCTGCATTAATCCCCAAAAAAGGAATACGAATAGACAGCACAGCGTCTACAGATTGCGAGTCCCTGTAATACGCCCCCTCCGTCGGGTACCCCCACGTGGGACACTGGACATGTCTATCGAATTCATGCAGGTATTTACTCTTCAACAGCGCGTCAACATCGATGTCAGAGATCTGCGTGATTTGCGCTCGGTGGCGATGAAACAAGCCCATTAGATTGCGTCCCATGGTGCGGCTGTAGACGTGCAGACCCAGCCACGTGCGTTGTAATTCTACATTACAAACCTCCAGATTCCACGGATTCGAACACGCCACCGCGGCGCGCAGTACGCAACGCGAACCTTCCTCGCCGCAGTAGTTGGTCAATATGTTGGCGCCGAGACTGAAACCTACGCCGTAGAGGGGGCGGTTGGGGAAGAGAGTACGCAGGTGCTTTATGGTCTGCCGGATATCCCACGTCGCGCGGCTGTTGAAGAGTTGCGGGGTGGAGATTTTGCTGAGAGCGCACCCCCGGCCGTTTACGACGCACGCGGTCCATCCCGCGGCGGTGAGGGGGGCGAGCGTCTCGCGGAGGTAGACTTCGTGCGAGCCGCCTGTTAGACCATGGAGGGCTATTATCATTGGTTTGGTGTCGGTGGAGGCGATGGCATCCCATTCTTCGTTCGAAAAGTTTGTGGTTCGCTCTGGTAGTTCATCGGCATCGTTATCATCACCTTTCCCTTCTTGGGCGGCGGCGGCTTCACCATCTTCTTTCGAAACTACGAAATCTACGGCAAAGGTTCCCGGGTACACTCTGTGGTCGGAGTGGTAGATTTGTCGCTTGTAGTAGATTGGCGGACCGGGGTCTGGGCGCGCGGTGTACATGGTTTGAAGGTGGCCGTTGAAGAGGAGCGGGTTTAGACGGCATGGTGGGATGGAGGCTTGGGCGAGGGAGGGGAGGGAGGTTTTTTGACCGGTTTTGGTGAGGAGTGGGTGGGGGGTTGGGTGGGATGTGTAGGTTGTGGTGGAGTGGCCGAGGAGCCAGGATAGATATGTCATGGTTGTTTGGAGTCTGGGTGTAGGATTGCGGTGGAATTGTGAGGTTGTTGAGGTGAAGAGACTGTTAATGGGTTGTCGGGTTGTTGTTGGCTGTACCGAGATGTCGTTATATGTGTAGGTAGGGTCCAATATGTATCTGAATATCCGGTCTAGGTCTCAAGATCTTGAACAAAGTCCTGAGATGCGAAATGTCCGTGACTATCCTCCTCTTATCTCTAGCTCTTTCTTGATCTACCTCTTACTTGATATCATATCTCATTGTGATCATGAAGCTGCAGGCCTGAGTAAGACGGGAATCCTGTTTTCCCCGACTCGAAGTTTGACGACACACGAGTGATTGGAATGAAAGCACGTTCCAGACTTAATGGCAGTGAAAATGTCGTCGGAATACGGGCCTCGGTCTAACCGTCGACTAGCCTGCATAAGTGTGGTGTCGCAAGCGCGCGTCTACCTCGCAATAGCCGCCAAATCGACAGGGCGCGTTCGCGACTCAAGACTCAAGTTCGCGACTGCCTCGTTGGACGACAACTTTCACACCCCGCCTTTCGACCGCAATGCAACGCCCCTATATCGACTTCCGGTGACTGCGCTCCGCCTGAGTCCACTATAGAATGGATCCGCGCTACAACTGGCCACCGCAGGCCTATGCGAACGGCCAATATCCTCCGTATGCGCCTCCGCAGCAACAGCAACAGCAGCAACCGCCGCAACAGCCAAATGGATACCAGCAACATGTCCCAAATGGCTATCAACAATATCCTTCTATGCAGATGCAGGCGCCCCAGGGATATCAACAGTCGCAGCCATCACCATACCAGATGTCACCACAGCCCAATATGCCGCGACCCTCGAACCAACAATATCCGCAAATGCAGATGCAAATGCAACCACCGCAGCCCCAGATTCGATCGCAACCCCAAGTCGTCATTCCGGCAAGGAACCCTCACCAACAATATCCGTCTCCTATGCAAGCGCAACCCCCGCGAATACGATACGTTCAGGTGCCGGTACAGCGAGCCAGCAACTCAGACATTTCCCAGTCCGACGGGTCAGGGGATCAACAGCGCCGATATAGCGGACAGACAGCGCAGACTCCACCTAATTTGAAGCCGGTGCAGAGAACGCAGTCGCATCAGGAAAACGTACCTCGACCCCAGCAGCGGCCTGCGAACACGCCGACGCAGAATAACAACCAGCATCGGGCGCCTCTACAGCCGCAGACCACGCCCCAGCAACCGCGCGTACAACCACAGGCTCAGACTCCCTCAAGCCAATATGGAAGCCCCTACCCGTATCCGTCGTCTTCGAAACCCAAAACGCATCCTCGGGTCGTCATTCCTTCGTCGTCTTCGTCGCATCAGCTTACCCCTACAAAGCGTGCTCACCCTCCGCAAAAGGCACTTCCCGCCGAGCTATCTGATTTGTTGCTTACGGCTGCCGACGAATATATTGCGGCCGCCCGTGGCATGGCATCTCTGATAGCAAGGGAAAGGAGGGATGCGGATATACGGCAATATCAAAAACTCATGTCCACAGCCATGGGGTGTATGGATACTGTACTTCGGGATTTCAACATGCCGCCACGTGAAGAGGCCAAGTTGCGCCTGAGATATGCGAGTTTGATGATAGAAGAGACGGACATTGAAGCTACTGACATATCAAGTCGGATAGAGGAGATATTGTCCAAGCAAATATCTTTGTGCGGACGCCATCGACTTCAGGATCTCAAGTTTGCTGCTTTACATCTACAAGCGCGATATCAGTTCAAGACTAACCACCGCGCTGGCCTGAAGTCTTTGGACAAACCAATTGCCGAAGCCGAGACGTTCCAGCACATTGCTTGGGTGTATGCGTTACGCTTCCTCAAGGTCACGCTTGCATTACAAATACCGGGACGTGTTGAGGTAGTTCCCGCCTTGCAACAACTTCACGCGATACAGGGTCACGCAGAGCGGCGAGGAGATCGAGCCATATATGTAGCTTGCTGTGCACTCGAAGCTATGGTTCATCTGCGATCAAGTGTCGCAGACAGACTGGAGCAAGCGCAACGTGCTATTGCAGCGGCTCGGAGTTTACAACTTCAGGTGACCGCCAAGGAATTGGGGTCATTTGGCACCCTTCTAGATCTCATCGACATTGCCAGTGGTGTTGCAACTGGTAGTCCGGACAGGCAAAAAGCTGATGCTCTTGTCATGTCGATTCTAGACAAGGACAGGGAGAATGGAAGCTCCGAGAGCGGAACCTTCACAGTCCTCATCGAGCGAAGTTTCGGCGGTAATCTGACTTTTGACACTGGTGGCATCTTCCGAAAGAACGCAGAGAGAAAAGACGAGCTCGTGTTTTCCTGGCTACCAATGGAAGACCTGCGAGCGCTATGTTTCCACATCTCAGCCCTAGACAGCCACCTCCACCAAAAAGGCATGCACTACATGAACGAAGCCCACCAACGATTCCGAGAATCCGCAAAGCGTCGCACAATCACCGGCATACCCCCCGCCGTCGCACTCGCGCGAATAGAATGGAACCTCGTCCTAGACTGGTACTCCATGTTCGCCATCGGCCTAATGGCCTGTTCCCACGACGACCACACAACCGTCAGCAACGTGCTCTCCGAACTAAAAAAGCGCATCTCCCAACCCCCCTACAAAGCAAACCCAGCATTCACCCGCACACTCGCCTACCTTTCCTCCATTAGCTCGCAAACCAACGGTGCCCTCGACGCCGCTCTCGCCGCCTCTTCAATCCCTGAACTCTGCGTCCCGGAAAAAGGCCACGCCACACCCGCTCGAACGGACATTGCGCTCCTCGCCGCGCTAAACCGCCTCCTCATAATCAGAAACCCAAACCACCCCCTCCATTCAACCACGGATACATTATTCCAACAAATCAAGCCCCTCGCCGAAGACCACTCCAACCAATACCTCCGCACCGCCTTCCGCCTCGTAGCAACCTTCCAAGGCGAGGGGGCAGCAATCTCGCACCAGAAAAACACAGTCCAGCGGTGCGTCGGCATCGCGCGTCAAGTGGGGGATAAAACGCAAAACTTCGAATTCCTGGCCATGATTATGTGTTATTTCGTCGCTCGCTTCTTCGCTGATTCCGTCGGCGAGAAGAGCGTTCAAGCTGTGCTGGCCGCGAGGTCCCAGGCGATTAAAAACCGCAGACCCGTTTGGAAGGCTGTTGCCGCGGGCCTTTGTGTGAATACGTATCGCAGGCATGGGTTTGCGGATAAGGCGGATGAGGCGGTGAGGGAGTTTGAGAGTGCGTGGGGGGCTTTGCCGGTGGGGCTTAGGGCCGTGGTTGAGGGTGGGGGGGAGGCGGATGTCGATGCGGAGGGGGAGGAGGTCGATGTCGATGTCGATGCTGAGGGGGAGGTGGACGCTGATGGCGATATCGATGTTGTGGGGTGATGATGTATGTATATGGGGGTTGTGATGTCGGCGTTTTCTGTTTTTTCGGTGCTGGGTTTGCGTGTGCGTGTGCGTGCGTGCGTGCCTGTGTGCGTGGGTTAAACCGATGTTTATGTGATTTTTCGAGAGATACCATACTATTTTCTGCAAGGTAAAGACAAGGAAAGGAAAGCAAAGCGTAAAATGATTTCATGTTGCGTATTAGTATATATATATATATATATAACTACCTTTATATTTGAGTGCTGGACCTCATTTGACAGTGCGATGGGTGTGATAAGTGGGATGGGTGCTGTTGGAATGAAGACGAGGTTTCGGTGTAGGTAGGTTTTTACGTTGTGAATGTGAGATGGGAAGAACGAGGGGGTGTGAAAAGTGTTGTATAAGACTTGTGAAAATAGGCATAGACGGAGACGGTCGATCGTCTGATTATTGGGGGTTTGGTACAATGATCGGGGTGTGTGTTTAAAGATGTCCTAGTAAGCTAAACTAGGCCTAAGAAAACGGGAGATTTTGCGAGAATTGGGACGAAGCCGCGTTAGAGTAAGTAAGTAAGATCTGTACAATCTGGCGGTTTACGTATGTTTGCCGAAAGTTTCGTTTGGACATGTGTGGTCATTACGCATACCTCATTTGCAATTTTCTAAACTTGGCTTCCTCCGATGTGTATGTTGAAACAGGGCCAAGGTTGGAATTATGTATGGGATAGACTGGGCTAGGCTAGACTGTTGCAACGAAAGTGGAAGTGTGGGAGTGGGGAAGATGTGTGCGTGGTTTGGGCCGTGTATATGCGGTGACAAGGTTATTTTAAGCGCGGGGGTTTGACTGTGGCGTGAGTGTATAATCAAAATCTCATGTCTGTTGATATTCAGGGAAAAAGAGGAATTTTGAATTTAGTACGGAGGGAAAAGTGAAAAAAAAACTCGGTAGAGCTCGCATCAAAT